CCCCAATCCCGTAAGCCTATCATACGCAAATCAGGGATTGAGGTTGCCTGAGCGCGAGGGCGCGAGCATGCGCACATATCCTGTATAGTTGTGGAGTGCGGTCGGCCGTGGTGTCTTATCGTTCATTTCGTGATGATGAGGTTGAGTCATCGCGACACCGGCCGGTAATTATTTCTTCACGATTTCCCATCGACTAGGTAATTTACGTAACTGGGGCTTAATAACGGCTAGGGCCAATGAGCGTTTTGTCCTTCTTCAAGGGCAGAAGAAGAAGAGGGAAGCGCGAAGTCGACACACAGTAAGTACTAGGTAAATCTCTCGGGCCCAGCGCTGGTCGAAGGTGGTGGAAGAAGTCGAAAACAAAAGAGCAAGAGATAGACATCCCCCTAGGCTTGGAACATGGCGGAAGGACATTAAAAGGCGAACAATATTGATTGACATGCGGCAGAAACTCACCTTAGCAAGGAGGGTGGGTCGTTCGTGGGTGCCTCTTTTTCTCCTTTGCCCTGAACTGCCTTCCAGAAAATGATCGATTCGGTGGGTGTCAGCCAGCCTGGCGGTCGGTTTCGATTTCCCTTTTGTTTGATGTAAATGTTGTTTTCTGTTGGGTCGCATGGAAGATTTTTCGACTTCTTTTTCCTTTCGTACAGTACCAGAGGTCACAAAGCCATTGACTTCGTGTCCCTTACTGCATCTGTCTGTCTGTCTGTCTGTCTGTCTGGGCTTGTCTGTTTGTATCGGTCGGGTACCTCCGACACATTCATTTGGTTTGAGACTGAACCAGAACCCAGACTTTCTGCAACAGCCTTGGGGAGTCTGGGACTGATGATGATGATTAAGCTCTCACTACGCAATCTCATGCGAAGTCAATCAATAATGAAACCTGCGGAGCAAGTTTGAAAAAGGGGGAGGCGAAAAAAAACCCTCCCCCTCCCTCCCAGTCCTTAGTAACGTAGTGCTGCAAACCCCGGGCAGCCGAAAGTGGGACAGGGAGAGACGGAGAGAGGAGACGGAGAAGAACTTCTAGAAAATTTCCGTGGGATTTCCTGAATGGGGGTGGTTTCCCCATCGGATTTCCCATCTGCTTCCCATCTGGCATCCCACCCGGTATGGCACTAGTGTAAGAACCGTCAGATTCTGACGTAGTTCGGTTTTTTCCCTTCTGTCCGAGTGGAGCTCAGCTCCTGTTCCCGACAGGGGGTACGTCCTTAATATTATTGACTTTGGGGGTATTTTTTTCCCTTGATTTTATTTTTTTTTGCGTTCGATTTTCTTACCTGGCGCGCGCTGTTGTTGAACGCCAATCATTCTTAGTCGGTGTTTTTTTCTCGCCCAGATAGAATTTAAAAAAGAAAATCAAAAACAAAATTATTGCAGATAAAAATAATTTTCTAAAAAAGAAAAAAAGAAAAGAAAAATAACACCGCGACAGAGCAAGATTCAAGTGTATATATTAGGCACCTTCGAACCTCGCTTTTGAGACTTTCCTTTCCTCTTCTTTCCTAGACTTCAAAGATCTTGAAACTATTCAAAGAAACATCACCACTACCAACCCACTACTACCGCTGCGCAGACACTCCCCATCTTCTGCCTCAACACCACCACCATCAACCATCTCGACTACCATCTCCACACCTATTCTCAACAACTACATCACAATGCCTTCCATCGGTGGTACCTCTCAATTCCCTCCCTGCCCTGGCCCTCCGCCAAAGGGACCTCTTCCCCCGCTCCCCAAGTAAACAATGGGTGTACCATCTCGATATGAACTTGACGACCAATTGATTCGGACCGGTTCCTCTCCATCGCATCTGCTCCGCCTTGATGAATATCTCGATCGAGCGGGCCGGTTCGAATCGCTCATGATATGGGAGCTGCACCCTTTGGCATGGATATGACGATTTCGTTTTTGGGACTCGCACTACGGCTTTTTACCACATACGCCTTTTATTCGACACGCTTCAATACCACCTCATTCTATCTTCAACCCCCCTCTTCATCATCTTTCGGGATCTTACCTATTCTGGGATTACGCGACAGCATCTGAACCGATTCTCTATCTGTTGCCGATATATTTACTTCTCCACCCAAGACGATCTTCCTGGAGACGAGCGCAGGCGCTCTGCTCCAATTTCCTCTATCAGCAATTGCGCTTTAAATGTTGCGACATCAACACATCATCACTCACGGTTTACGTGTCCGGTGGACCGAGCAGCGGACCCTGCCGCCTGAATTACCGAACCTGCAACTGTTGCCAAACGGAAGGCCATGTGTCTCATCTGGACCTTGGCGGGTCACTCGGTAAACTCGTGGGTTCCAAAATCGGCAGCCTTGTCAGTCACCGTGGACTGGGCAGTCAGTCAGCATTTCCACCAGCAACCCCGCAAGAGTCGGTGACGACACGACTCCCGCCCGCTCGGGTTCCCATGTGAGATAGTAGTCTCGGATCCTGCCTGGATTTGCCGGGACTGACCCCTCCTCTCACATCAACCACTGTTGATGTCAATGCGCTAATCCGTGTGGTGATGTTCACCATCATGCATTGCTATTGGCGGATGGGATCACTTTGCATCTCAGCCTACATTTTAATCATCGGGGGAATTTTTTCTTTTCTTTTCCTTTTTTTCTCTCTCATTCGACCCAATCCTCTTGTATCATCTTGATTCCTTATCTTCGTCTTTCGGAGGGTCTGAGCTTTTCATCTTTGATTCCACGTGCATGTATAATAGACTTAATATACCCACCAGCATATCGCATCTTAACTGCGCGCGCGATTTGACATCGCTAATGAGATTGACCATACTTATTACTACTTTTGACACCTGGAACATCCTGTTGTAAACCAGTGTAAATCCCGCATTGTAAGACGACACAGTCCTATTGGTCGTGTGGTAAGTGTGGTGACTGCGAGACAACGGGGCTGTTCCCTTGCGTTGATTGAGGATCGACGGACAGATGCTCGGCCGGACAGGGATCATGATACCATAGCTGAGGGAAGCAGCCCTTCCCTCCTTCCTTCTATCTAATTCCCCCGCTTCCCAAGCGACGATCTGAAACCAGCCAAAAGCGGAGTTATGACTCAAACGACCGAGCGGATGACGATGGTGATGATTATGATCACCATTACGAGATCATGATCCTGACTGGGTGGGTGACAGACAGTTGGGGCCTTGTCGGGAAGCTGAGGGCAACTTGGAACTGGTACCTTTTTCTTTTACCGTGTATTTTCTTTTTTCCATGGCGGAGTCTCAAATTCAATAGTCGCGCAGGCGAACATCCCTCCCTAGCTCTCCCGAGGTGGCGTGCCTTGAGCGCTCCTGATACGGTGATGGTCCGTAGGGAGGGGAGAGGGAGGGAGGGGGAGCTGTTCATCAGGCTGAGAGTACTTAGTCTTGCACTGTCCTTGTTCCGGCTTATGGTCATAATAGTTATGTTTATTATCGCTATAATTGATACGGAACTGAGTCACTCATGACATCCATAACGTCGAACGAGCTAATCTAACCCACCTGCACTATTTATTGGCATGCATATGTATGGCATGGGTCCGAGAGCCGTCGATGATCTGAATAGGGCAACCTGACGATGTAATCATGATAAGCTACCGTCACTGCCCGGAGGCTGTTACTCAGCTCAGAAGTGTAAAAACCCACGATGGCAGGCAGCATCTACTTCCCTCCAGTAGTCCACACTTCTGGACCAAGTTTACTCCAGTTCCTTGGTTGCGAACAACAAGAGGCGGGGGGAGAGTTGGTTGAACCGTTGCTAAAACGTCCTGTGTCCTTGTTTTCCGGACTGGGGAATCTTCTACCCTGACCTATTTGATTCTTTTCTCGAGTCGACCACGTCCCATGTCCACGACACCACCACCACCACATACTAAGTCTAAATGGTGCGTGCCTAGCCCGGCAAGTCCGAACGCAGGTCAACTGACCCGACCTGAATCCTGACCCTGGCACTTGAACGCGGGGACCTGAAGGGGAGGGGGATACTGTACCTGATTCGGTTTAACGCCACTTCGACTGTACTAGACTCCTGGTAGAGTTCCCTCCCCCTCCTTCAATGCCCACAGTCTCTCAACCATAATCCACTTACTCTCTCCCACACCCCTCCTTGAACAAACTGCGGCCCAGGCACGTTCCACTTCCTACCCGCACTCTGCTCCATTGCAAAACGGATATCATGCCATCGCCATGTGCTCCAATGTATGGACGGGAATGGAAATTGAGTTTTCCTTGATCGGGAGTCCCTGGATGTTACCCCCTCTAGGTACTAGGTGTGGATGTTTACCTAGGGTATAGTTATGGAAAATGGGAGGAGAGCCCCCCCCCCCTAAAAAAAAAGAAGCCGGAAATCAATCCCTCCTCTCACGTTCTCTTCTTACGTCTTCCTCTTCCTTAAGCGCTCCGAACTAGAAAAGAAGCGCCACTGCGTTGATGCGTTGTTGCCCTGCGGCTCGTCGATTCAGGAAGTGTGGATGGTTCGTTGCAATTTCCCATACAGAGGATTCGCATTGCCAGAGCAGGAAGCAGCTTAGGATGTCCTGTACACCACTATCAATTAACCAACGTACTCCTTACTTCCTACGTAGTAATTTCTTTTGCCGTGGGATACTATCGATCGCCTGGGGAAGAGACGGGAGTTGGGATTGTCATACTCATATCGCCAGATGAGTAGTGGGTGATGGGGTCCGGTGTCTATCTTGTGCTGGGTGCTTATCATTCGATCGTCGTCCCTGCCAACGCCCCCTTTCCCCCTCCTCCGATGGCGTCTTTATCGATAAGTGTTTAACAATACCAGGTTGCGCCAAGAGAGGGAGATGAGGTGCTCGCGTCGTGGGCTTCAATTACCGGATCTCTGCAGCCTGATTGTGCTTTTTGATGGTATGGGTGAGGCACGGGCCGTGGAAAGGGGATGGAATTGATGAAAGTCGCTCATCCCACCGGGTCAATGATCTGATCACCGGGCTCCATGTTTCGTTGTCTTATCGAGTTTATCATGGGGCATTATGCGAAGAGAGGCCCCGATAACGCCATATTGAAACCGTACTTAATCTACTTGAGATGGTAGTCGAGGCTGATCATGTACTCATGCATCTCCCTCTCTTCTTTACTTGTGACAATCTTACCTGCGGGGAATGCCTTGGATGATCGATAAGTTAGTGGTAACGAGTAGATGAGCACGGCATGTGAGTAGCTGCCTCAGGCATCCATACGCAGCCCCACCCGACAGCTCATCGATGCCTGAGGCTGGGGATCGTGCAGGATATGGAATTCTGCACGTGATCGGCCGTGATCAACAAGTCCGATGCACCTTTGCACCAGCACCACAACAGCTCGTCCGGACGATCCATCGGCACACGCGCGTGAAGCCTCCGGAAGATACGATGGTGCTAGAACTCCATGTTTGGGGGCCGGCATTCTCCCTGCCGTCCATCGATGCGCAATGTCTGGCGACCATTGCCTATCTGTCTCTCGCCCTACCCAAGGACGCGTGGGTGCTCGTCGCAAGTAGCGATCCCTCGGTGTCTCCCACAAGTGAGTCGTCCGGGCTTCCCCCAAGGCGTCAAAGGTTTCGAGAGGACTTTACTAATACGTTGCTTGTCGCAAATAGATGAACTCCCTGCCCTCCGAAACGGCAACACCTGGGTCTCCCGCTTCCGCAACATAGTCGACTATCTCCGCCAATACTCCGCGGGCGATTGGGATCTGGATGCCGAATTGACCGGACTCGATCGCGCGGACAGTATCGCGTACGTTTTGATCCCCACCCCTCACCACCTGACCAAAACTCTGAAGCGCGAATAGATTCACCTCCTTCCTCGACACGCAATTCCCCCCTCTCCTCGCCCTCTCCCTCTACGTCACCAGCCAGAACTACTACAACTCCGTCCTCCCCGCCTACTCCTCGCAGATCCTCACCTGGCCCTCGACCTGGCTCATCCCCCCGCAGATCCGCGCCGCCGCCAAGCGCGCCTCTGACCACCTCGGCCTCTCGTCGCTGGACCTGGTCGCCCTGGAGGAGGACCGCAAGCGCGAACACTCGGCCGCCGTCGCCGCGGGGCGCCTCCCGGCCTCCCTCCCGCTCCCCAGAGCCGCCCCCACGATCACCTCGGGCCTGGCCACGACCCACCGCTTCCGCATGGAGGCCGTCACAGCGGCGGCCTTCGAGCCCCTCGCGGCGATGCTGCAGCCGGCCCAGAAGAACTACCTGCTCGGCGGGGACCGCCCCACGAGTGTCGACTGTCTCCTGCTCGGGTACGGGAGCCTCGCGGCGCTGGGGCCGGAGAGTCTGCAGGATGCGTGGCTTGGGGAGGCGCTGCGGCAGAAGGCGCCGCGGGTGGTGGAGTGGGTGCGGCGCATGCAGCGCGAGGCCGGGCTGGCCAGCCTACCGTGGCGGAAGCCCGAGCGACCCCGCTGGGTCACGGTGGGCAACACCCTGTGGAACACGGTGGCGGACGCGACGCCCATCTGGCGGGATATCCGCGCCAACACCCGCATGCGCGAGATCGCGCACTCCCAGGAGGCGGATCTGTCCGGGGAGGAGCGCACCGCATTGGCCGAGTATGTCACGGGGTATAAGAAGGATGTCTGGTTGTCGGTGGCGGTGGTCGTGGGCGGGGTGGCGGCGCTGGTGGGTTATATGATGCATGTGGGGTTGTTGGGCGGTGGGGAGGGAGGTGAGGAATTTGAGGAGGAGGACGAAGAGGAGGAGGTGGAGGTGGTGCAGCCTGAGTTGCCGGTGAGTCTGAATGCGACGGACTTCTTGGGGTCGTTGTCGTTCTAGTTAGGGGTGGGTTGTGCTGTGTACATGTACGATAGTTTGGTTGATCGATCTAGAATCGAATCGAGTCACCGTTCGAGTGGATGTTTATGATGTCTGGTTCTTGTACGAGACACGGCTTCTCCAGGTAAAGGGTGCACTTGCACTGCCTGTACAGCCTGGAGTGCGTAGAGTTACGCCGCATTTGGACAGACCACCGTCATCAGTCCAGCTCTGATCTATCGGCTTGCTAGTATGTATCTAGCATGGATACCATCCAACGAACCGATCTAATGCTCATAGCGAGCACACTTCGTATCAGCCACGGAGTACATGAGGACTGTAACTCGCAAGCCATCGATATACTGCATGACCTCGCTGATAAACCTTCTTATCCACCACCTCTCCTTCTCTGTCCCATCCAGCACGGGGGAATAGATACATCGAGATCATCCCAATGCAGTAGCAGACTAGAACCCAATACCCCCGGTAGGATCAGACCCCACCGCCCCCGAGTATCCGAACGTGTATCTTCATCTCCAGAATACTCAAATATGAACAGGACCATACGTACACAACCCCAACTAATAGGAAGTAGTAGTAGTACAGGGCACCAAGGAAGCACCTCCCTATCACACCATCAACCACAGTAAACTCAACTGTACAGTGGAACTCCACCCCTCCCCCTTCTCCCCTCACCCCTCTCCCACACCATATACTATACCATATACCCGCCCCATCCCCCTCAATCAACAACTTGGAAAGAAAACCCAGACCCAGACCGCAAACCTCTTAAGAAAACCCACGAACCAACTCCGCCACCACGCGCACCGTCTCGGCAATGCGCTCCTCCCCCACAAACGGCGCACAATGACCACACTCGATCTCGCGGACGACCCACTCCCGCCCCGTCGCCGCCATCATCGCATACTGCGCCTCGCGGGGCACGGCGCGATCCGCGGCCGTGACCACAAACGCCAACCCGGTCGTCTGTGTCTGTGTCTCCGCCTCCACCTCCGCCCACGCCGGCGCCGGCTGCGGGGAGGTAAACGCCCGGGTCGCGTGCGGCCGGAGATACGTCTCGAGAGCTGCCTCAGGGAGAATCCCCCGGGCCTCAGGCAGGAAATTCCCCACCGGGTCGTCGGGGTAGTTGAGTTGCGGGGCGGGCTGGTTCCCCGTCGTGAGGGTGGTGTTAGCCACTTTCCCATCGAACTCCCTCCCTCTCCATCCAGAAAGATAGTCTCAAGGGGCTGGGGCTGGGGCTGGGGCTGGGGCTGGGGCTTGGGGATTCAGGGTTGACACACCGTATCCAACAGAATCCACGGGGGCAGCGCACCGCCCTGCAACCCGGCACAGCTCACCCCCTCGGGCACGAGAAACGCCGCCACGAAGATCATGCCCACCACGCCGCCGGGCTTTCCGGCCCGGTGGCGCGCGGCTTTGCTCAGCCCGGACGCCGCGGCCGCGCCTGGCATCCCGGCGTAGGAGTGCATTATGAGGATGACCTCGCGGGCTTGAGATTCGATGAGCGTGAGGAGGCGGGTGCGGATGGCGGTTGTGTCGGTTTGGACGTCGGCGGTTGCGGCGGCTGTTGCTGGGTCCCCCGGCTTGGGGTTGGGGTTGGGGTCCAGGGACGGGTAGGGGATGTGTTCGACAGGGAGGGCGGTGGTTTCGGTCAGGGTGGAGAGGAAGGGTTCGTAGAAGGCTGGGGTGAGCCAGGCGCCGGGGATGAAGGCTATTATTGGGGACATTTTTGGGGGGGGGTTCTTCGGGTGTGGATGTTTTGGGTGTTGTGTCTGGTCTGGTCTGGCTATTGTGGTGAGGGATTGGGGACTGCAGTGGGATGCTGCTTTTTCCAAGGTGGGAGAGAGACTGGTGGGAGTATGATATGTGAGGGGGGTTACTGCACTGTACTCGGTGAGTATGATAAGAGGGATGCGGGGTCTTGGAGAAGGGGAATTGGGCTTGGTCGATGGCTTATGTATGTGATACTGATAGCGCAGTGGAGTGTGGATGGGGCTGTAGGCCCTACCCTAGTGCTAACTACCCCCTCGCTCTCTAGGTTGCAGCCTATGATCATGATATCGGTAGCTTGGGGATGATGTACAGTAGTTAGCTGAGATGGTCTAAATTCGACCCCCGCAGCTTAGCTTCATTCCTTAGTCTGGTTGGGTTTTACGGTTCGGGAATCGTGCTTACGGCGTCGGCCATGGCTGCTGGGCTCCCCTGCCAATGGTAGAGGTTTGTCTATTGTGCGTGGGGGAGCTTGAGGGTTGCTTGGTTAAAGGAGTTGTCTACTTGAGATGCAGTGTGGAAGGGGGTTTGGGGAGAGAGGGAGAAAGAGGCGGGGAGGGTTCATTTCAATACCCGAATCAGTTACTTAGCGACTAGTATGACAAGGCCCATCTTTGCAGAGTCAGTTCATATTGTAGAAAGTAGTACAATACAGTAATATCACAACCCGAAATCAGCATATGATACAGATCCATCCCCTTATCGAAACAGAGTCCAGTGACCAGCTAAATAGCGATTGACAGCATCCCGTCATGTCAGACAGAACAGGTATAGTACATCGTAGGGTAGGTTGTGTTGGTTGTATGCGACCAGCGCTGTTGTTGTTGTTGTTGCTGCTGCTGCACCTCGACAATCGCAGACTGTCATGAGTACTGCATGCAGCAGGCAGTTGCGGCATTCGTGCTTCCGCATAGGCGAAATGCAGAAGCGAGCAAATAAAGGAGTGACATGACATGACATGATGCGGCGTGAGATGGCATAATCGGAACACAACTCCCCAAAGTCCGGTAGGAAACACCTAACACCAAAACTGGCAAAAAGGGCAGCGAAAAGAAATCAAGAACAAGATGTCGAAGTAGCCACGGGCACACGGCCTAGGGAAGATAGCCCTAGTTCTAGAAGGTTGCTGACAGACAAGGGTCGCACCCGGGCAACCCCCTCGCAAGCGATGTTCTGGAGCAAAAACACCAAAACCCGAGATATGGCACAAGTAATGTACAGTACAGCAGCAAAAGAAATAATGAAACATGCAGGCGATTGTCCGGAACAACAATTCCAAAGTGAACGGACGGCCATAAACAGCGGAGATCGAAGGCGACAGGCACAATGCACCATGGTCAAGGGGGCAGGTGCACAGTTGCGGTGACGAAGAGTCCAGAATGGCGAGAGTAAGCATCATCGGTCGGTCGAGAACGAAACAGACGCCGTCGATCGGTCCGCCTCACTTTGTGGGAGATTGAAGCCGCGCGGATAACCCGCGGTCCCGGCGACAAATTGCCCAAGCCGAACCCTCCAGCAAGCTAACTGCCCAGCAGTGCTTCGGAGGAGGCTGTTCTTTGTCCCGAGGTACCCAAGACAATACTTTCACTTCCACCGTTGCTTATCCCAGTCGGAAGGTCTCGTCTCATCGTAGATTTGTCCTCCCTGGTTGTGGATGATGACGGGAGCTTGTGTTCGACGGGGACCAGCATGCGAGCCTAATTCGGGGGATTGGTGGTTAGTCCTCGATGCAAGAAGAGCAACGGAGATAAGATCTAGACATACCTCGCATGTCCGTCACCCTAACACCGTTCCCGCTGCTGCCACTGCTGGACAGAGATGAGGTCGAGTCGCTGACTTTGTGAGGCATTTTGTTGGATTTCGAATTGTACACGAGATTGAATTTGGGAGAAGTAGATGAAGTGATTGGAGTGGATAGTATGAGAAGTGGAGGGTTGAAGTGGAAGTACTGGGAGATATATGTACGCTGGTTGATCTGTGGCTGAGCAAGGCACAATAACCAGGAGAACGATGAGGCGCACGCAGGTAGGGAGATCACAAGGTAGTGAAGGATAAGAGATAGAGCGAAGAGAAACTCAGAAGTGATGTAGTTTGCTGTAGATGTAGTGTAGTGTAGTGAATAGCTGTAGTAGTTGGTTGAAAAGACAAGACGGATGAAAGGCAGGACAATGGGGGCCTTTTGTATGTTTCCCTCCCCACGGTAGCAGAAGAAGTATAAGTGATCGGGAAATAGACAGAAACCAATCTGGACTGGGGGCCTGGAGCAATGCCAAAAACGGATCCCAATCGAATCTCGAATCGTTTCCCCCGAGTTTTACGAACCCAGGAAGAAATGGCAGCAGATCGGTCATCTTGCAGAGCGACTAGTAGGAAGAAGCTCCGGGCCCGCCTGGCCTGCTCCATCGCCCATCATCCTCCATCCATGCTGTATGCACTGTATCTACGCTTTACAAAGCATCGTCGATCCCCAGTTCCCAATCCAGACGTCATGACCCGAAACCAACCAACAGAGAATCGGATGTCTGGAATCCCCATCGAAGCGTCCAGGCTCCACCGTGCTGCCTGCCCAGGCTGCCAGGGGCAAACCGAGCCCGAATGGGGACGAGGCAGCAAACCGGATGATTCGTCACTTGAAGCACCCAGCGAAAGGGCGGTTTCAGGGACCGACCCATTGGGTTCGACAGCTAACCTAAGCATAGCCCAGGAGGTGAGTAGGAGTAAGTGAGAGTGAGCCTTATTGCCCGGGCACCAGCCACACTTGTGTTAGACAGGAAACCTGAGCACCGCCTGATTCTGAGTTGAGCATATTTCGTAACTACCCCCTTTTGCTACCCAGTGCCAGTGCCTGGACATAGAGAGGCTGCTGTGGCGCGGATGGAGGCTGAGACAGTCTGCTGTCCAACAGATAACGTTACTGTATGAACTGGGTCCAGGGTGTGGTGCTGGTCTGGAGTCCCGCCTTACCTGTCGTGGTCACGGGAGGGCGACCAACCCCAGCAGATGACCGTATAGAACAGACAGCGAGACAATATGATTGGTGCTGGCGACGTTTTCAAGCCGTCAATTACAGCTCATAACAGCCACTTTCTCGATCACGTGACCGAAGAGACAGTCGCAGAGCACCTGGCCGTTTAGTCAGACTCCCACCCCAACCAAAATAGTAACACCGCCTTCCGGATACCTACCTACCTACCTGCCTGCCCAGTGGTCTGGCCAGCTTCACATCGCATCATCAGAATCATCATCATGATTATCCCCATCTCCACGGCTGATGCTACCCAGCTACCTGAGTGACGGTGAAGGGATCGTCGTCCCCTCCCATCTCCCAGACAATTGACAATAGTGATGCTGTTCTCATACAATTGCCGCGGGCCTTTTGACCCGGATACCTCAACCAGGTCTGGCAGCCGTGCGCCCATTCTAGCTTTCCATAGTTTGCGCGATTATCACCTACTTCGTACTCATAGTTTCGGAGTCTTAGCTACTATCTGATTATTCGGTCATCTTCCCAAACGGGCTACATCGCTGGTGGCCATACTCTGCAATACTGGAAAGGACCACTGGAAAGGTCCGGTGCAAACCGAACGTTAATGCTACTTCTCCAACGGGCTGGCCGTTTCTGCGGTGTAGCGTGCAATATATGTACAGCACTTGTACCACCTTACCTTGCAGTCGCCAGAAATTGAATACTTAGTGCTATCATACAATAGAACCAAGCTAGCCACCAGCACAGGAAGACACACACATAGGTTAGACCAGCTAGCTAGCTAGCTCAGTAGCTCAAGCTAGCAAGCTACGCAGCACCTCCCCTCCCCGCCCCCATTGCTCTGAAGGTGTACCTAAAATAGGCCCCGAAACCCAACCGGGCCCCCGCCATAGACAGCCAGACCTAGACTAAGCGCTGTACTGTACAGTATAGCTTCGCCTAACTAATACTCTCTGAGCAACGCGAATCACGACGACCTTGGAGCACGCACAGTACTTTGTGTGGTAGGAGGGGATCAAGAAAAGCCCGGGCTTGATTCCATACTAGTAGTTGGTTAGTACCCATGCCTCCTACATAGTCACTATTACACGATATCAGATGATTCCATGCCCCCATGCCCCCCGGGCATCTCCCCTATGTGATCTCACCGCTATCTTGACGGACGCTAACTTAGGCTATGCCCACGCTTTAGTCCGGGACAAGACGGATGTCATCCCTACTTGCTCCGGGCTTCGAGTCTTGCGCAGTGTACTCCGTAGAGATGAACGTATCTTTGTCCGCGTAAGTTGGGACCAACTAACGAACTACTACCCCGATCCAGGGACGGAACCCTCGACACCGCCAGATGGGAGGGAAAACAACCCGTGCCCCGGGGCTGGCATATCTTTGACCAAGATGGAGGCAGGGACGTGTCACAGCTCCTGATTAACGCTGTAAGGTTGATAGATGGTAGATGGGGTCGGGAAAGAAAGAAAGACAGGTCCCCCCCCCTGCGCAACTGCCAACTGTACCTGCGTTCAAGATTGTTTTTCGCGTGCTGAGTGGAATGGAGACGGACGGGATGGGATTATCTAATTCCTGAGTCATCGGGGCCTGCGCGGCCACTTCAGCTCCAGGCTCCGGCCGGGCTAGACTCGAAAGGGGGTGGACTATTTGTGCGGGGCTGGGGCTAGCATTGCCAGGCGGAGAGTGAGGCTGCACGGTTTGGGTGGACTGGTTGGTTGGCGGGTTCGGTCACGGGTGGTGATGCACTCGAATCATGGATATTGATGATTATGGTGATGACGACGATGCGTATGTATCTACTCCGTAGGTACTGTACGTACCTTTTTTTTTCTTTGTCGAGGCAAGGCTTCGGTTAGCGGCATGCTGTCTGGAGGCAGACACTGTGGTGGCCTGGTTAGGCTAGATGCGTCACGGTCATGCTCTTGGGTTCTACTTGTGTGGTGCTGTTTGGGGGCAGGTACGGAGACTGTTCTTGTGTGCATAAATGCAGCAGCAGCGTTGCCGCGTGCTTTGTCATCAATGCACACTGTGCGGTTTTCCAGGGACATGCATGTCTCCTACCCAAACAACCTCCTATCCCATCGAGCAAGAGGGTGTTGACACCGAGGTAGATTTATCTGTATGACCCTCTGTTTCACTATAAGTGAGCGGATACCAGGGTGACAGCCAGCGTCAAGGGGCTATTCCTGTGGTTGTTGCGAGAACAAAACCCATGTTTCACCGTATCTCATCTTGAGACGTACGTCTAAGATTCGTAACCTCCAGTGCTTATTGATGAACCCACCCAGACACCTCCTGCTAAGCAACACGGTGGCTTACCAGTTCCAGCTCAGCAAGAAAGAAATGAGCTGGGTGGGTAAGCCATCTCTCCTTCCGATGCCCGTATGCAAAAGTTGTTGTTGGATAGCCTCTTGCCAGGCAAAGACTTCTCATCCATCTTATCCTTCTTCTCGCTTCGACTGCCAATGGCACAGCAACCGAGCTCGCTTTCTCTCTGGTTCTGGGCCTAAATATGCCGTTCGACTCAAAGCATTTCCCAACCCGGTTGCAAGCATCCATACTTTACCTGTCTGTTGTATGTCCAAGATCGAGAACGATCCGATCGGGCTTGGGGGGGTCCTTTTGTATCATGATCATGGTTGCGGACGCAATGTATTTCCCGCTAACATGTCTACACGTGCACACGATGGTGAGCATACCCCTCTGGCTATGGCGGGAAGGGGTAAGAGTTTACGGCCAAGGTAGTTCTTGCGGGGGCCTGTGGCTTTAGATCATTCCCTATGAGAATAGTATGCAATATGACATGAACAAGATAGAGTTAGTTGGTCTAAATCATACTCCACATACAAGCTACAGTCAACAATACAATGAGAGCGGACCAAGAACTGATAGAACACAATAGAATCAAGAATTACTCTACACATTTCAATAAAAAAGAAAAGTGAGAGTATTGGAGAAAAAGAAGAAAAAACTTGATTTATGAACTGTTTCTGCGCCGGAACCTATAGACAAAACTGCCTCACTCACACTCTTTCAACCCCCTGTCTCTTCCAAATCATATCCAACCTCACTCCGGCAAACACCCTCTCACTCATAATCCCTCAAGTACCGACCAGGCAAATCCACATCCCACATCGGTCGCTCCACTACGGCAACCTCAAGGAACCCTTCTCCCGCATCCTCGTTCTCTTCTTCTTCCGATGACGACGATAGCGCATCCCCGCTACCAGCGTGGTAGGTACTACCGCTCCCCAGGGGCACAATACCCAACAGATCACGGTACTTGTAGGTATGCCACCAGCGACGCGCGGGGAGGGTCTTGCTGATAGCGGACCCGTCCTCTGCGCTGCCGGAAGCCAGGACGATCTGCTTGCTCTGGGCGGAGGGCGAGTCGACGACGTCGTGGGCCGCGTTGGCGGCCAGCAGCTTGTCCTGTCGACCGCCGAGCGAGACGCGCTTCATCGGGGTGCTGGTCTCGATGGCCTGGCGCTCGCGACGGAGTCGCGCCAAGGCGACCTCATTCCGGGCAGTGCGCTCCTCTTCGTCTTCTTCGTCCTCGTCCTCGTCCTCGTTGTTGTGGCCACGCGGCCGGGATGCTACCCTTTCTAAAGAGATCTCCTCGGCGTTGTTGTCATCATTACCAACGATCTTGCGCATCTTGGTGCCGAAGAAGATGTCGGATTGGGCGAGGGACATGCGGTCTCCGGCACCGCTGTTGGGTTTCTTGGTGGTGCGGGCGGCGGTCGAGTCATCCTCGGTGGGGTCGCGTTTGCGTTTTTGGTTGTTGTTGTTGTTGTTGGTCGTGGTGAGTTGGGTATTTTGGTTCTTAGTGTTGTTCTTGTTCGGGGTGGAGGTCGTGTTGTTGGTGGAGGTGTTGGTGATGGCAGGGATGTCGGCGGCGGCGGTGAGTTCCTCGGGAGAAGGGAAGTCCTGGTTGAGATCGAACATCCATAGCCAGGAGGTGCCGTAGAGCCAGAGCCGTTCCCGGGTCTTGGACAGATCCCACACGCAGCCCATGGCGCGGTCCTTGACGCCCCGGAACTCGGCGGGGAGGAAGGCCTTGGGGTTGCGGCGCGACCAGTCGGAGAGTTTGCCCTCCGCGGCGTCGAACTCGACGAGCTGGTGTTCGCTCGTCAGAGCCATGAGCCGGGTTTCGCTGCTGCCGCTCTTCGTCTTGTTATCGGCGTCGCCGTTGGTCAGAAGTTTGGTCTTAGCGAGGTTGGCCGGTCGGAAGGAGAGGAGGACAACGCCCGATTTGAGACGCGGGATCGGTGACTCGGCGGCCGCATACTTCCACCGCTCGCCTTCGATGACGGGCGATTCGTCTTCGTCGTCCGAATCCTCGTCGTCGGATCCAGCGCTAGGCTTCTTCTTCGAGGCCGCCTCGTCAGCTTGCTCCAGCACCCAGGTGTCGACACAGCCAGAAAGATCGCCCGAGGCGACAACGTTGCTATCGTGGGAGAACACAACGCAGCGGACCGTTCGCTCGTATTCACCGAGGGTGCCGTGGGAGGCTTTCTCAAAGCGAAGGTGGCGCGAAGCCCGGTTGAGCTTGACAAGCTGGGGCAGGATCTGGGGCTTTTCTTGGGCGGTAGGGGCGGGTTGGATTCGGGCAAGGTAGAGAGCGCTGTTGGGGCGAACGACACAGAGCCACCGGCTGTCGGGAGACACGGTCACCACGCGGGCTCCATCCTCTGCGAGCACTTGGGGCACATCCAACTTCTGGACTCGGAGAGTGCCCTTCTCGTCACCCTTGCGGCGACGCACGGCGAAGACCTTGATAGTAGAATTGGTGGCGACAACCAGAATCTTTCCATCCGCGGATAGCATGGCCGAGGTGATGTTCTCTTCGCCCTGCCATGCTGTTAGACACATAAAACCAGAAGGCTTGGACAAAGAGTCTTCGTTCGTACCTGAATCAAAACCTTGCCAACCAAGCGATGCCGTTGTCCGTCAGGAATCTCATGCGACACGGGGCCACGCAGCATGCGCCAGATGCTAACCTCGCGATCCCAGAAGCTCATGACCAGTCGGGACGAAGGCGATGAAGCAAGCTGGGGTATTTGAGGCAAGCTGGACAGCTTTCTGTGATGTTCCTTGCCGAACTCGCGCAGGGGAAGGACAACAGGGGCAGCGTCGGGTCCTGTTGCTCAATATTAGCCAATCAAGATACATAGCGAACAGAGCGATGGAAGGGGACAAAGCCTACCTCCAGACACGACGATACTAATATCTCTCGTCTCGTAGACAGCAAAGGTTTTGACATCATGCGTATGGTAGCGACGGTGCATGACCTCCACCCAGCGAGCCCTCTTGTCATTCTTCTCCCCATCCTTCTTCCGGTAGACGACCGTCCGCTGGTCGGCACCACCACTGACAACGGTATCTCCATTCGCGCTCACTGCGACATCCAACGTATCCGCCAGATGACCTTGTATCCGCTGGACAAGGGCGTAGTTCTTGGCATCCCAGAAGCGGATCTCACCCGCCGAATCGCCCGACACAATCGTCCCATCCGGGAGACACTTGACAGACCAGACGAGCAGCTCCTTCGTCCCGCCGGCGGGGCCCTTACCGAGCGAGATCGTGCGCAGCAGCTGGCCATTGCGAATATCAAACAGGCGGATCGAGCTGTCCGCATACCCGGCCACAATCGTGTTCCGGTTCTGGAAGGTGACGCTGAGCACGCGCGACCGCTTGGTCGACGGGCGCATCAGCCGCAAGAACTGAAGCTCCCCCTCGGCGGTGGACAGGATCACGATCGACCCATCCGCGCAGCCGGCCGCCAGGTGCTGGCCCGTATACTCGCCTTCGGCGGGGCCGCTGGCCGCTCCCTTCCGCGACGAGGCCTGCCAGCGCGGCTGCGCCGCCAGACACCAGATCTCGCCGTAGTTGCCGCTCGAGTGGCGCAGCGGCCGCCCTTGCTCCAGATCCCACTCCGTCACCGCGGTCGAGTACCCGATGCTGAACAGGCGCAGCTTGCCCGGCAGCTTGGTGCCCTCCGGCCCGGGCTCCTGGGGGTCCTGCGTCCACACCAGGCCCTCGATGCTCCGGTCCTTGCCGCCCCGCAGCACCGTCTCCTGGAACCAGGCGCCGCGCAGCGGGTTCCAGATCTCAATGTCACCGTTGGCGCGTCCGATCGCCAGTCGCAGCGTCGGCACACCCCGGCCGGCGAGTTCGGCGGAAGGGGGGTGCGAGAAGGCGAGCGCATTGATCGCTTGCGGATTGTAGGGGACGAAACGACAGCGGTGGATATCCATGGTTGCGATTTCTTCTTGTTTCCCGGAAGTCTCTTCAAGGGTCGGTCTTTCTTTGCGGTATTGGGGAAGGCCTCGTTCTCAATATGCGCGTTCCTTCCTTCGCGATTCGTATAAAGCCTGCGACGCGGTGTTTCTTTCGTGGCTCGATTTCCGATAGGGGGGGTCGCAGTAGGATTTGAGGAAGACGTAGGATTTCCTTTCTCTCGTTGATGTTATAAAAAACGAAATCTGCCCGGCTCAACTTGTAGAGCCCGACCGCTTAAGCAATCATTTCCGGAAATGGACCGTATGGGGATTCTGTTCTGATTGAAAGGTGGAGGTGAGGTTGATGAGCCGGAGTCGAGACTTTTTTTTTCGCTGGCGGCCCTTTGGGGAAATTTTTGGGATATGATTTTTAGCGCGGCCCGCGGAGGTTCCACCGGCGCCTTTGGGTCACGTGCATCGCTCGCGGTGCCGGAGCTGGGGCACGGTCACTAGCGCTCAGGTACAATGAACTTGGGGAGTAATATAAGAATGAGACTTGCTGAAAGATAGAATGAGCTTGGGGCTCTCTCTATGTGGGGTTTAGGTGATGAAGCTTGCTTGGGTCGTGGTGGATATGTGTGGATATGTTGTGGTGAAGGTAACCGCTATAGACTACCGGAATGAGGTAGACCACTGATGCATCTGGCATTCAGACGATTAGTGAGATTACTATGAGGCATCTTCAAGCTGCATTCTGAGCCAGCATAGTAATTTTGCTGGTCACCCATCGATGTATATCATTCTACATATTGTTGTAGACGGTAGTGAAGGTCCCGTGCTCGCAGGAGTAGGTAAAAGCTTGCTTGCCCGGTTGACTGAAGCGCTTGACACTACATACCGAGATACAGTTGAACTTGCTACCTCCACTATAAAACTCATCGGGTATTTCAAATCAAAGTATGCTTGTCAGATCAAAAAGATGTCGTCGACACGTTGACTGCCCTCACCTTACTCCATACAAAAAGGCTACGCAGGATATCAATAGCTTCACACCTTGTCCAAGTGAGCGTCATGGCAGCAGGCTCCGAAGGGACAATGCAGTCGTGAGCACCTAGTCTGCTGCTGTGGATCATTGCAAGGCCTGGACCCATGCTCACCCGCCCATGCACACGGAATGATGACAAGCATGTATGTCGTCGGAACAAATCAATTGTGGCGGAGGCTTTACAGCAACTTAGTGTCTACCAGCAGGGCCTGAAATGAACATATAGACAGCCATTGAGACTGCATGGGGACGTGGGAGCCATCGAGGGCCGTATCTCTCTTGGGCTAGGAGAATCGACATGGACCGCTCGACATCGATAGGTCCATTCGAGATCGAAGGGCATGCCACGTCAGAGCGAGTATCCGCAGAACGCAATTTGCAGGCACTGGGCTATCGAATGGGGGTGGCAAATGCATTTAGCATCGCAGACTGACAGCACCTGTCCACCAAGCCAGGCTAGGGGGAAGGGGAAGGGGGCGAAAAGGCATCCAAGGCTTATGCACGATGAAAGTGGAGTTAGATATTTGGAAGTCGGAGAGAGGAGTTGGGAAGTGTCACCACCTGGCATCCGTCGCCTTCAACCCGCCGTGGATGAGAAAAGGGGGGAGGAGGGGAAAGACGCAGGTAATGAGAGGCAGCTTGGAAGGGATTACATGCTAAACAGCCATGATCCCTGTAGTCTGACGCCGTCAGCAGCAAGGCACAATGATGATGGTGGGCCTAACTCAATGACCCCGGTGAATTTCTCTTGAATGTTCAGCTGAAGGGTGATTATTAGCGGATGGAATGGCTAGACTACGACTAGTCCACGGTAATCTAGGGTTCTGCTCCTTCTGAGCCAACCCTTCATCTGATTCGATCTGCGGCAATGCGGGGTATTCAGTCCGATGAACACGATCATAGATTCAGACATGATTTGCCGCTGTCGGACTTGCCCAAGCAGGAGCCCGAGCCGCACCACCACCACCACCACCACCACTCCTTCTTTGAAGACAAAGTTGTAAAACCTACCGTCAGTCAACTGAAGACAGTAGACACATCACGGCTCATTGATCCTACCGATCCACGCTCTCTCCCCCTTGAGTCCCATGGCCCAGAAGAATCGTGGCTCGAAGTGAACCTTAAATGCCAGACAAAGATAGGATAATTTCCCGAGCCGCAAAAGGATCTCAAACATACCGAGTACTTGCTTACCTATAGCTCCGCGAGGTGAAACCCCAGGTTCATTGGATGACAAGCGATCTGCTAAGATTCTCGGACCACCATCGAGTACGACCACAGACAAGGCAGAAGGGAAGGAACAAGCGACACACGCCAGTCCTTCTGGTCCTCTTTTCAGAAGGCTTAATCCGTTTCACCACCGTTGCATCGACTGCAGCTTGCAGACCCGTAACATGATACCAATCCTAGGGCAGGTATCATGTCCTTGGGTGTAAGTTTGCTGATTTGGCAAGGCATTTATGCTTCAAATTCGCGCACATTGTAATTCATGACCATGGCACTGCTCGATCCCAGTCGACCTCCCCTAGATGTGATCATCAATACTAACTTACTATCCTGATAGCACGGAGTCGTCGCAATGTATTCCGGCGACTGAAATAGCGTGGTTGACAAGGGTCCATGCAGCGATCGCAATCTCCAACCACTCGACCAGGGAGTTGCTTTCAGGATTGTGGCATAGGCAATCCATCCATTAAGCCATCCGCGATCGCTCTAGGGGCCAGGCCGCTAGAACCGATGTGATCATAGTAGTGCCCGTTATCGCAGGGCGGACAGGCATCAGTCATTCCTCGATCGGGAAGGTGACTGAAGAGGCCCCCGAGGAGCGGGGACCGGTTCCATAAATGGCTAGTACTTGTAATCGGTACAACCCTCAATGATAACAAAGCAAGCGGAATAGAGAAGCAGTTGTCGGGTTCCAAGGATCCGTAAGTGGCACAGGTCTTAGCCAAGCGAAATATCACAGCACCAAAGGATATAGTGTGAGTCGACCGTGAATTGGTGCTGTCTTCCCGGACTAGTGGTAACTTGCAAGGCACGGGAAGGCGGGACGCAGATACAAGGCTTCTTCTGGGGTGGTGTCTGGGCCAGGTTTATCCGGGAGAACCACCAAGGAATAGTCATGCCGCGAAGGGGGAAGAACTGGAACTGGAACTGGAACTGGAACACGCCAAATTGGCAATAGGCGCGAGAGAACGCGATCACCAAATCATGGCGCGTACAAGGGCCTGCACAGCATCTGCGCCAAGCACCACGGATAAGACTTTCACGATTTATGTCATCTCGAAAGCCCCTTAACTTTGTTTTTAGACGTCTCGGGGAGAGATGGTCGCACGACCGCTGGTCCGGAGGGAGGAATTGGCTGTTGATTACTCAACCGATCGATGGAACAGGGGAGAAATAGCTTGAAGCTGAGGAAACGTGGCGTGTCTGCCTTGCACAGGTCCAGTTAGTCAGGAGATTAATCAATCAATGGTCTCTTCCCAGGGGAGATTGAAGGAGGAGAAGGAGGATACAGTGTAGGGAAAAGTGTTCATCGTTACCTATATCATAGAACCACAATTATGGGAATAAGACCCCCTTTAGGGAGTTATGTTGAAATTAAAACACATTGCTCGCAGCCACCAATAACAATCTCCTTTCAATGGCTCATAAAATCCGGACATCAGGCCGGGGCCCCGAAACGTGGGACGCGAGTCAATCAATGACGACATTCGCCTTGGAAGAAGGAAATACGTACTTAACAGAAACGCGTGGGCAAGTATCGATGGTCATTTCCCGTCTCAACTCCACGCGTCTGGGATCTGAGTTTTGTGGGTGTGGGAGGAGGCGGGTACAGGGAGGCATAGAGAAAACAAAATTCGAGTTTTACAAGTCTGCAATAAAATTTGAAGCCATGCGCAGCTATCAATAAGATGATATCAATTGAACCATCCCACCATTGACCGGTCAGTGACTTGACTTCACTTGCCCTTGCTTCATTGCCATTCATTGGCAGAGAGGCCTCCCGTGACCGCTGAATAATACTACCACTACTGACTAAGTAGTCAGCTAATTTAGAGCATTTCGGCTTGGGGTTAAATGTGGAGTCGTTTATTTACACTACTATCGGGCCCGCTCTTCCCATCCTGCGCTAAGCCCCATCGCATCTAGAGCCGGTGTGTGTCTTGTCTTGTATCTTTGATCGTTCACCCGTACAATATGTACCATTTGCCCCGTTGTGTTCGGTATGTAATTGCGACGGGCCCTTACACTGTAATCTGTCTTCGGGTCACATCTGATACCGTTCAGATCTGACAGAAATACCACCGCCTGAGACCCATCCATCCCCGACTGGCTGTCAAACGAGCAAGACTAGGTAAGAACGAGAGTCACAAAAGAGCAGGGCCAACCTGCCCATGGTTGATGCTCTCCGCTGCTTCGGGCGCCGCGAACCAACCTAACCAGAAATAGTTATATTGTCTCGGGCCTCGATGGGCGTTTGTAGAATTTCGCGTCACCGGTTGCCCGGGGATTTCATCCAAATTAGCCAGATCTCGATTCGTCAATCTGATCAATGGCTCCATGGCAAACGTGGATATCACTTCCACCTGTGAAGATTAAGTACAGTGCTCAGTACATACTACAGGATCTCAGGCAATCCATCCTTGCGATGTCTGAATCATATGTTTGCGTTGTGTGCAGTTAATCGTTACCTTTCTCGCACCCCCATGATGTTGGAGGCAAAGAAGAAGTGGACTCTATGACGAAATCAAGACGCCAAACGAATGAAGCTCAGCAAAAGAGAAAACGTCGGACAATCCTATGTTTCGTCCACCACCACAAACTGTATACCGACTTAAGGAATAATTAGGTAAAATCGGCCGGCCGGGTGGATCGTTAAGCGAGTGACGGTACCATAGTACTGGTACGAAGTCAATTGAGGCAAAGTAAGGGCTCAATCGGATGTGATAGATACACCGAAAAGAACGATGAATAGACTAAACTCGTTCACTGCGAATATGTGCTCATTCAGCTAATTCGCAAAGGAAACACTCGTCACACCCCTCCCGCCTGGGTAAGAGTTGATAGTAGTCTTTTAAGTCCATCACAGACCCTCCGTTGAGCCATCGAACAACCAGAGGACTATCAAGATCGACCAGAGGTTATGTATCAAATCATGTCGACAGCGCAATCCAATGTGATACAGACTAGCCCGCGGTTGCTATACATCGAAATTGAAATGTTCTGTGAACCTTCCAGAACATTTCCCAATCCAGCCGGGCTTACCTGACGCGTTCACCAGGCTTTCCCCATCTTCTGGCCTTTTTTTTTTCTTCAACCTCTTTCTTGGCCTCAATTTTTTTTTCTTTCTGCTTCACCTGGCCCACTTCCATCACTCACCGTAACCGTTTGCCTCCCGGGCTACCGCTAGTTTGTGTGTGTGTATTCCCCGACCAACGCCCACTTTGGGTCCTTTCTTGAAGGCCGGTTTTTCGAAGGGTGGATCTCCACTCCGTCGGAACTGCGGGGCTGGCTAGCAGGAAAAAAAAACAGCCTTTTCCTTTCTCTGGTAGTTTAACCTGGAAAGATTTCGCAGTGGCCCCGGGTCGTCGACAAGCACTGTACTTTTCATGTGATGTGCTTGTTCATCAGTGGGTGCTTTCCGATGGATCATGACAGCGATGCTCAGACAATAAGATCTTATGTCGAGGAAAGTTTTCGATTGAGATTTTTCCTTTTTTTTTTTTGCAAGTGAACTCAATTGAGAAATCAATCCTGGTTCCAAGTCCTGGTTCCTTCAGGTAAGGCGAAAAAAAAAATTCCCATGATCCGCAGTGGGCTGGTAAAATTTCATGGAGCCGAATGCGGTGTGTTCAGATGGTACAGGACACTAAAGCTTGGAAATTCACCGATACTGGAACTGTACACAGTGTGCTTCGAAAGAGGTAGAAAGTCATGGGCCGGGGAGCAAATGGCATGACATTCGAAGGCTTTTGACAGCTCTACTAAGGGGGAAGGGGAAAGAGAACAACAAAAGAGAGAAAGATACCTCCGGAGAATGCGTACGTGCACTCTGTATACTCAAACCTAGGATGTACACAAGAGTATTCCAGAACCAAGCTCTTCCCTGATGATATAAGTAAAGATTGATAGTTATGTCAGGCAAAACCTTACGCACCACTGCGCATGCTTTTAGCTACATAATACTTCATGCACAAGACGTCCACCCGCTTCCCTATAAGACGCTCGTTGATGGAGCAAGCAGGCAAGAAAGAAACCATATATACAATACTGTATACTCCGTACAATCGGTAAACTCAGAGAATAAGAATACGGTAGCCCGCCATCACTACCTCCATAACCTCTAGCGCTTGTGGTTTGGAGACGCGTATACAAATTGGGTTTCGGACCAGTTTGATGCGATCCCACAAAATAAAGGATATCCCCAGGAATATGGCCCTTGCGTAGGTGATGGTTTATTGTGTTTGTGATGTTGGTATGAATGGTTACACAAGCTGAATCCCAAGGGAGGCATGGGGGTAACAATCCGTTCGGTGGGTTGGCCTGGCGATCATGGTGTTCATCGATATGCTCAGATGTTGCAGTACAGAGGGACCAGGGATCCCTATCCCTCCAGCCCTCAAGAATGTGTGTTATCTGCGAGTTCACCCAGGATGAAGGTGTTTTGGTCGAGAGAGAAGAGGCGGTTGTAGATCGAACTGAGAGGAGGGAGGACACTGCAGGTACCCAGCAAGGAGCGCGCGCTTACATTCGCCTTGGATTGGATCTATAAGATCTTGAGAATTCTCTCACTCTCGCGCGCGCGCTACACTTCGAGATCGAAGTCGTCTTTGTCAGTCAGTCCCCTTCAGGTCCTTAATCCTCGAAAGGTTCATGCAACATGCTGGGGGAAAGCACCGCGTCATTCCTACATCCGCGGGTCGTCTAGTGAATTGCAATCGGCAGGAATACCCTT